AACTACCTATGGATAAACTTATCTCAGTGTGTACTGATGGTGCTCCGTGTATTGTGGGGAAAAACAAAGGATTCGTGGCGCTTCTCTGTGAATATGAAAAAAGACCCATCCTTCGTTTCCATTGCATTCTACACCAGGAAGCTCTTTGTGCTCAGATATGTGATGGACAGCTCGGCGAAGTGATGTCGCTGGTCATTCGTGTGATTAACTTTATTGTTGCCCGAGCCTCAAATGATCGACAATTTAAAACACCGCTGGATGAAGTTGGAAGTAACTATCATGGTCTTATTGTGTACAGCAAGGCACGTTGGTTGTCAAAAGGGAAGGTGCTTAGCCGTTTTGTAACGTACCTGAACGAAATCCGGACGTTCCTTGAAATGAAGGGCATTGTGCATCGTGAGCAAGCCGAAACTGAGTGGCTCTTCATGTTTTACTATCTCGTGGATATGACAGAACATCTGAATTAACTTAACGTTAAATTGCAAAGCAATGGAAATAAAGTGTTATCCCTTCAAAAATACGTGTTTGATTTTGGAAACAAGCTTGAACTGTTTATCATGGATCTTGAAACAGATCGTTTACTACATTTTGAAAAACTAGGACAATATAAAGATGCATGCAAAGTAAGTGAGTCCACTCAGAACTTTGATCTCAACCGGCTAGTTGGCTTCACATCCAGTCTCCTACAGTCGTTTAAAGCACGCTTTGGAGAATTTCGAGAGCACACTCGTCTTTTTAAGTTCATCACCATCCAACCGAGTGTTCACTGAACACAGCCGACCTACGTTATATTCCTGGCCTCTCCATTAGAGATTTCGAAGAATAATTGGCCGACGTTAAAGCCTTAGACATGTGAATGAATAATTTCAAGTCACTCAATGCAGATTTGGAAAGGATCGCACGACATAAAGCGGAGTTGGCAAGCAAGCACATGTGGACAGAAATTGAAAAACTTCAACCCAAAGACCAGCAGATAATGAAAACTTGGAACATGCTTCCGGTCACATACCACAAATTGCAGCGTGTGAGTATTGCTGTATTGACCCTGTTTGGATCTACGTATGCACTTGAGCAGTCGTTCTCACATCTTAGATACAGCAACTCCACAATAAGATCACGTCTAACGGATGAAAGCCTCAACGCTTGCATAAAGCTTAACCTCACTAACTACCGACCAGCTTATAAAACCCTCAGCGAATCCATGGAACGCCAGAAATCATATTAACAATGAGTTTTATAAAGAACATTATTTGTATTTGTGCTTGATGCATGTGCAGTCTACTCTTAAATGAATTAACACAAGAGGAGAGCATAACCTCTTCAGGAAGGGCGTTCCTGTGTTCTGTATCATGCCTTTTTGCTCACGGTTTTCGTGGATATGCAGCAAAAGAAAAGGCCAGTATGACGACCGAATTTTCTGGGCCAATGTGTTCAGGTGAGATTGTAGGTATAAAGGTGTTAAGGCTAAGACGGTTAACCCTAAAAG